CTTTGCTTAGAGTAATAGAATCTGAGTTACAAAGCTACCTCCCAGCAGTCAATACCCGCTTCTGGTCATCAATCTCCATTGTTATTGAGTTGCTTCTTGTCCTTGTTTCGTTGGTGTCCTTTTCATTTTACATTCTGTTTAGCATATATTTCTGTCACCTATTATTTTTCTTTGTCTTTGGGTATATGCTTAATTTCTCTGTGTTAATGTGTCCCTCAGGGTCATTATAATTCATTAATTCAGGCTGCATTTAAAGTACAAGAACAATGAGCTATTGATGATCGTGACACTTTCCTCCATTTAGTGCGAAATCTCCTATGTATTCACTCAAGTGAGCAACTCTACTTATCTGTATGAGTATTTTATTCTCATATTTCTAACATGGCTTATCCTTTCTGTAGATGTCCAAGCAACAGTGCCAACATATATGTCAGCACATGCATTGGTTCAGCAGATATCAACACTTCAATCTAACTTGCTTTCTGTTTAGTATGACCAGAAAAGATGTATCAATGAGTTGTAAGTTAACAAAGCACTGTCTAATAATTTCCTTCCTTTACCATATTTCCTGTCCAAGTCTAAATACATATAAAATCAAAAATTCAGATGTTTCATTTAATGTTTTTTCTAATACGTACTTTTACCGTGTACCAACCTACCCATGTATAAACAATTGATTCCAGGTATCCAACTAACTGGTTTTCCATATAAACTAGGTCGACTCATTTCTATGTTAATTGAAAGACAGAGCTCCTACGATTTGCATTAAAAAAGATATCCAATTGACGATTCACAACAGGTATTTTTATAGCTCGCAGACAAACTCTGAGTGGTAGTTCCAACACCATAACTCATGGTGTGTTTTCACATCTTGATTTTTGTATACGTGCATAGCTGCTGCCTCGTTACTGTTCATGAACATAAATAAGGTTTCAATATGGAAGCATCAGCATGCTGAATATCTTGTCTTCCCTGCAACCTATTCACTAGAGCTCCTGCAACTCATGATCATCAGGATTGCCTATATCCTCCTCACCTCTAAGAAGTTCATTAGCCGCAGGATTTCCTCTATTAGGACCTATGAGCACTCTGTGTTACCTTAGCTAATACTTGGAGCACACTGATAAAAAGGAACAAACTCAAGTTAGAAAGTTTCGTGGCTGCGCCATGCAAACATTTGTGCATCAATAAAATACCATATTATTAGTATCTAATTATAAAAGTTCTGGATATACGAATATAAAGTTAGAAATATGTTACAATAAAGTTCAGAAACTTGAAGTGCAAAGTTTAGAATTACAAAGTTATGAATCTTAAAGTACTATGTTTCAAATATGCTGGTATAAAGTTCTTGGATTTTAAAAGTAAAGTTTTAAATCTTAAAGCAATCTTAAAGTATAAAGTTTTAAATGTGCTAGTATATAGTTCCTGAATTTAAAATGTATAAGTTTGAAATTACAAAGTTTTAAATGTGCTAGTATAAAGTTCCTGAATTTTAAAAATGAAAATTGACATTACAAAGTTCTAAATCTTAAAGTACAAAATTTTAAGTGTGCTAGTATAAAGTTTTTGAATTTTAAAAATAAAGTTTTAAATTATAAAGTTCTAAATCTTAAAGTACAATTTTTTAAATGTGATGGTACAAAGTTTATAATGTGATAGTTCAAAGTTATAAATTCTTAGTGTAAAGTTTTGAACCTAGCAGTATAAAGTTTATAATATGATACTTCAAAGTTTTGAACCTAGCAATACAAAGTTTCTAATGTGATAGTTCAAAGTTTATAAATTCTGAGTGTAAAGTCTTGAACCTAGCAGTATAAAGTTTATAATATGATAGTTCAAAATTTTAAACCTACTAGTACAAAGTTTGTAATGTCATAGTTCAAAATTTATAAATTATGAGTGTAAAGTTTTAAACCTAGCGGTACAAAGTTTATATTGTGATAGATTAAAGTATTGAATCTAGTCGTATAAAGTTTGTAATGTGAAAGTTCAAAGTTTATAACTTATGAATGTAAAATTTTGAACCTGACAATTTAAAGTTTATAACGTGATAGTTTAAAGTTTTTGAACTCAGCAGTATAATGTTTGTAATGTCATAGTTCAAAGTTTATTAATTCTGAGTGTAAAGTTTTCAACCTAGCATTACAAAGTTTATAAGGTGATATTCAAAGTTCTGAATTTAACAGTACAATGTTTGTAATGTCATAGTTCAAAATATATAAATTCTGAGTATAAAGTTTTGAACCTAGCATACAAAGTTTATAATGTGATAGTTCAAAGTTTTGAATTGAACAGTACAAAGTTTGTAATGTGACAGTTCAAAGTTTTATAAATTATGAGTGTAAAGTTTTGAACCTTGCAGTGAAAGTTTATAATGTGATAGTTCAAAGTTTTGAACCTAACAGTACAAAGTTTGTAATGTCAGAGTTCAAAGTTAATAAATTCTGAGTGTAAAGTTTTAAACCTAGCAGCATAAAGTTTTAGTATAATAGTTCAAAGCTTTGAACCTAGAAGTGTAAAATTTGTAATGTCATAGTTCACAATTTATAAATTCTAAGTATAAAGTTTTGAACCTAGTGGTACAAAGTTTATAATGTGATAGTTCAAAGTTTCGAACCTAGCAGTACAGAGTTTGTAATGTGTTAATTCAAAGTTTATAAATTCTGAGTGTAAAGTTTTGAACCTAGCAATACAAAGTTTATAATGTGATAGTTCAAAGTTTTGAACCTAGTTGTACAAAATTTGTAATGTTATGGTTCCAAGTTTTAAATTCTAGAATCAATTTTACAATATCGTGTATTTATATATATTTTAATACATACATAAATGTAAAGCTCAACATAACTTCATGCATTTTTAATTTGTTTACCTTGTCTTGTTTTTTCAGGGTATTAATGACAACTATTTATCACTGAAGAACTGAAGCCACATGTGCTTTATACTAGCTATTTGCAAACACACATATATCTCTACAAATAAGATGTAGTCCTTTCTCTAGCTTTTTTCTGATAACCTTGCATCTCTTGTATGAACTTTTTTATTTTTCTGTATCAGTTGAATTATTAATCCCATACAAAATTTTGAAAATACTACTTCTACATCTATATGGATGTCAAACCATCTTCCCGCCCTTTTCATCTCCCACAAACCCGCTATCCCGAAAGAGAGAAAAAAACGCTCATAAAATCTAAATTGGTCGATTGGCCCAGAATCTAGACAGGAGAAACGCTACTAGGCCGACCCAAAATAAATTAGACATGAGAAACGAGAAACACGTCGGCCCACCTACCGCACGTCGGGAATCCACGCGCTGCTATCCCATCCGATGCGCGCGCGTCCGTAACGCTGCTAGCGCACGCACGCCGAGGAACACCGTGGTGCTTTTGCTGCTTTAATTCACACATCACAGACCAAAACCGTGCATATACTTCCTCGGATCAAAATTATCAGTCCATCTAGATTTATGGTAAGTCATGATTTTTGAGTTTTGACTGTTTATAGATTATAGAAACAAAAATTACTCCCTCCGTCCTCTTTTATATTCATATTAGGTTTATACTAAGTCAAACATTATTATTTTTAACCATCCATTTCAAAAAAAATCCCTTTATTTTTAGAACCTATGAATGATATATTATAAAAGTATTTTTATAGTGAATCTAAAAAAAAATCTTAGGTCATGAACCATTTTTTTAATTTGTGGTCAAAGATACAAATGTTTAACTTAGTACAAACCTAATACGATATGTAAATAAAAGCAGATGGAGTACAAACCTAATACGATGAAGTCATTCTCATAATAAATCTAGTGAGATCAGTCTTGTTTTCAAATCCTATTGATGGGCAAATTTAACAAAGTTTGACTTGGGAAAACCTCGTGATCGAAGGAAGTACCATTATATTTATATATTGGTCCAACACTACTACACAAAATCTTTGCACGACGTTTCCAAAATGGCCTCGGAGGCGGCCGGCCTGGTTGCCCGCCTCGGTTATTCGAGGCAGGGCAGCTGGGCCAGCAACCGCCTCGGTTAATCCTTAATCGAGGCGGGCACTGTAATATAACCGCCTCGGTTTAATGCTTGTTAACCGAGGGCAACCGCCTCGGTTAACCTTTATTAACATTAACCAAGGCGGTTGCCTTAAGACGCCCGCCTCCGTTAAATGTTTAACCGAGGCAGTTAGGGCAACCGCCTCGATTAAGGCCACAATTAACCGTGACCTCTTTTTGCCCGTCTCGGTTAAGCCCTTTTGTCCGCCTCAAATAAATTTGTGTAGTAGTGCAATTGGCCTGAAAAAGGCATTTAAAAGCGTACCCCAGCACTGTAAATCAAAAGGAAAAGGAAAAAAACACTTGAAATAACTTAACTACTCTCTTTAAGCGTCCAGAAATCTCTGGCCTTTGGGGCGTCAGCCACTGTGTGGCACTGTTCATCCCTTTTTTTCTTGTTCCTTTTTCTCTTCTTTCACGGAAATTCTCCCCCCAAAAAAAAAATAAACGTGTACAACAGGCACACCCAGCCAAGCGCATGTACTGTGCTAGTATATATTGAACTGCCAGTCAACCACCACATCACCAAAGATCCAATAGCATCTACAATTTATTTATTTATTATACCAAATAAAGAAAAGATAATAAGGAAGAGCCAATGGACAAGTAAGTTGCAGCCAACTTTGTCCTCCACACCACACATGCTGAATTCCAACTCGATCATTACTCTGTTGCAATATGATGTGTGCATGCCGGCATGCCCCCTTATGATGCAACCCCAAATAATAAAAGGGAGGAAAATTGCTGATGAGACACACGGCGCGAGTTGGTGCACACACTCAACTCAGCTGTATAAAGCCCTGGTCCACAAGCATTGCTTTGCTCCGGCCGGCGGCCATCTCCTTGTCAGGCTCCAGCTTGCAATAGAGGGGGAGGAGGAGGGAGGAGGAGAAGATGCATGAGTGCCCCAGGCGCGGGCGCCGGCGCCGGTGCCGGCGAGCGGACGATGAGCATCCACGGCATGTTCCGGTTCGCGGACCGGGTGGACGTCCTGCTCATGGCCCTGGGCACGCTGGGGGCCATCGGCGACGGGTGCTCCACCAACCTGCTGCTCATCTTCGCCAGCGACGTGATGAACGCGCTCGGGTACGGGGGCGCCCAGGCTGCCGCCACCGGCGGCGCCAAGAGCGCGCAGTTCATGCACCAGGTGGAGAAGGTTCGTCGTGCGCCGTGCATTACCTTACTTGTACCGGCGACAAGTGCCGTCAGCTCCGAACCGTGCTCGATCAACATCGTCTGTATGCATTAATTTTTCAGTAAGTTTATTTGTTCACCTTTGTTTTTGTACTTTTTCCCGTGATGATGCAGTCGTGCCTGAATTTCGTCTACCTGGCGCTCGTGGTCCTAGCGGTGGCGTTCATGGGTAACTTCAGCTCGCTGCTCGCCACACCTAGCCTATTTATTCATGCACATCATTCACCGTACGCATGCTGTTTCTCAGAACCTGCTTGCTTGCAATGAAGAACTTTCCCCCTTGTTTTAACGGGAACTAACAAAAATGTTTGGTACTTACCATTTTTAATGGCAATTTTGCGTTCAAAAGGAGACATCATCTCTGGGCAGTTCTCTTTCTATATTACCCTACTCGGTTGCCCCATGTGTATGATGAGAGCCAAAAGAAGACTTCTTTTTAGCGCTACATACAGATTTGTTTAAAAACTAATAAAGAACTGATGTCCATACTGGAAAGTCTGATTTTTCTTGTCAGGACTTATAGAATTAAATTGTTTTCTACCTATGCAACTTTCTGCAAGTTCTTCTTACATTTTTTTTTCCAAACGAGAGGCTAAGTAAGTGGCTGGTTGCATCTCAGGCATCTGTTTCCTGGTTGCAGAAGGGTACTGCTGGAGCCGGACGAGCGAGCGGCAGGTGCTGCGGATCCGGTACCTGTACTGCAGGCCATCCTGCGGCAGGAGGCGGGCTTCTTCGACTCGCAGGATCAGGCCACCACCTCGGAGATCATAAACAGCATCTCCAAGGACGCCTCCCACATCCAGGAGGTCCTCAGCGAGAAGGTACGGTGCAGTACTGCAGGCACACCACCAACCCCATGTTTACCCCTGGATCTCTGGCACAGGTGTGTCGACCACTCACCACCATCGCCGACCACGTATTGTCATTGCTGACCACACACTATGGTTAGAGGTAGAAGAAAAGAGAAAGAACAGAGCACAAACACAGCACAAGCACCAGCGTTGGCCGGAGCTCTGCAGGGGAGATGGTAAAACTGAACTCGCTCTCTTTACTGAGTTGCAGTGGCAAACTATATATACAACTCTACACATCTAATCTTAGTACACAGATATGTCAGGCTGTCATGCTGCTACAGTGACTAGATGTGACAGCAGGACTGACTTTGGCGCCTGCCCCTGCTGTGGCTACAGTGCGGCAGGAGAGCCATTCGGCGGCTGTCCCTGCAGCTGCTACAGTGCAACAGCAGTGAGCCCTTTTCGATGCCGCCTGTCCCTGCCGTGCGTTCACATAAGGGGAGCAGCAGATTACTTAACAAGTTTTTCCCTAATCCTGCTGCTAACCCTTGAACCCCCTCCATACCGATCATCTTCTTCAACTCCGTGAGATGAAGACGGCCGAGCGGTTTGGTGAGGATGTCCGCGAGTTGCCGACCAGTTTCGACGAACTCGATGACGATCCGTCCTCCATCGATACAGTCCCTGAGGAAGTGGAACTTGACGTCGATGTGCTTACTTCGGTCGTGGAGAACCGGATTCTTTGCGAGGATGATGGCGGGCTAGTTGTCCATCATCAGTGCTGGCGGGTGAGCTTCCACACCGGTGTGGGGGTATGACCCCGGATACCCACGGCAGACCACATGGGCTGCCTCCTCAAGGGCGGCCCAGCCCACAAGACGAAGCCTTACGGGGCATGACTCTGCTCGGCGCCTTCCGCAAGATATCTAGAAGATATCCTGAAGATACTACGAGATCTGTTAGGATATGTATGATCCCAAGATTGTTGTAATCAGTTATTACTTTCCGATTATCTCTCAGATCTAACCAACTTGTAACCTTGCTCCCCGAACTATATAAGGTGGCAGGGACCCCCTCCAAACTCACGCAATATCATACGATAGCTAATACAAACCAACAGACCACAGGAGTAGGGTATTACGTCATACTGACGGCCTGAACCTGTCTAACTCGTGTGTCTCTGTTGCATTCTTGTTCTTGATCTCACACTCCTCTGCCGATCAATCTACCTTCGTAGGATACCCCTCGGAGGACTGTCGACGATATTCTGTCGACAGTTGGCACGCCAGGTAGGGGCTTGCGTGCTGTTTCCTTGTCGAACAAGATGGTTTTTTCCGCAGGCTCTTCATCCCTCCCGCAGCTCGGTCAGATCTACATGGTTGGATCGATCTCCTGTATCATCAACGCTGACGGAGTCAGAGAGCTCCTCGAGCCGACGCAGATCGATTCTGTGCCGATCATCCCCGCACCTGCGACTGCAGATCCGATCTCGGAACCACCTCCGAGGTCGCCTTCATCAGCAACTTGCCGCCCGCTTCCTCGCTACCAGAGGAGGCAGATCAACAACGACGATATGATCGAATCCATCGATTGGGTCGGTCTGAAGCTCGCCGATTGCCTCTCCATCGCCGAATCGGCTATGGACACTTTGGTTCAGCGCCGACCACCCTCCGATCCAAATCTATCGGAGGCTGCTCGGAAAACTCCAAGAGTTGCAGCTCTGCCCTTCGGGCTCACCAACGTCGCCGCTACCTACCAAGACGCCCTGAGGGGCAAATTCACTGACCAGGTGGGAGACGCCCATCCACTCGCCGACCAGATCGCCGACCAGCCTCCGCCAGCCGTCAACATGCTACACATTGCCCGGTGCCCTGGGGTGTCCCTCCAGACCATCCTAGAGGAAAATCTGGGATCCGAGTCTCAGGGCTCTATGGAGACCCTCGCCGAAACCTTCACCGAGCACTACTAGGGAAGTGCTCATCAATGACGCTCCCCTTTCGTCACGGAAGACTCCAAAATCGTCGCCAAAGTTCTTCTATGATGAACTTGTGACGAAAACAGATTCGTCATGGAATGAGCGTCATTGATCAACAACTGTGACGAAATGCCTTGTTTCGTCACTGAATGGATATCATTCAATGACGAAGAGTTTTCGTCACTGATGTACCTAGGTTTTCGTCATAACATGCTGCTCTCGTCCAGTTACCAAACGGGCGCTTGCCGCCGGGCTGGCGGTGGCGTGTCTTGCGCGACGCGTGCACGCGTCCACGTGGCGGTGACGTGGCCGGTACCGACGTGTCGATGGACGTGGTGGGTCCACATGGCGCTTTTTGGGCCACATGGCACGTTATGATTAGTCCATGTGGCTTCCCAGAGTGGTTTACATTTTCATCACGTAACCCGAATCTTCGTCACAGATTAAAATTACGATAAGGTGACGAAAACAAAATTTTCAAATCACCGATCACATTGCAATAACATCACAGTAACCGAGAATTTTCATCATAGATGCACATGCTACTTTTTTTACAAAATGCAAATAATATTAAAATGACCAAATGCTTCCATAACTTAATAGATCCAAAGAATCCAGGTCACCATACAACCCCGACTCAACACTAATAAACTCGGTTCATATATAACTAACTTGACATCACATTCTAGGTTCTAGATTGATCTCAGTTCACATTATCACAACTAATAATATAAAGTTGCCAAGCACCAAAGAACATAGGTTTTAGACTAAACAAAATCACCCGAAGAACACGGACCCTTGCCAAGCACCATGCAGTAGCAACACAGAGCCCTTGGTAGCATGCACCAGCGGTAGCAACGGTTCATGTCAAGAATTCAGGGACAAGATACGCTTGAGCAGCGCATTGTTCTCCTCCATTGCCTTTTGGTTTGCCTCCGCCCAACTTCTTCATATCCTCCATCTCCTTTGTGTCCTCTCCATCTTTTCCTCGGCTTCTTCAGCCTCTCTTCTTGAGCTCATCGATTTCATCTTGTACAAAGCTGACCTTAGCTTCACCGCTAGTTGTTCCCCAAGCTCTTCTTTTGATGTCTTTGAGTTGGAGGATGCCACTTGGTTTGATGCCAACATTCTTCGTGAAACTGCTTTGAGCTGTTCTTGGAGAGCGTCTCGTGACACAACCTCACATGCTCGGATACTACTGTCTCTCCTTGAACAGCAGCCCCTCAAAGCTTCCATGTTGGACCTGAAACAACAATGAGCCATCATTAGTTCATACTTATTGAATTAAAGTGAGGTGCAAATATCACACAAGATATATTTTATTTGCAGATTGTTATCAGCTTGTTATCAAGCAAATGGAATCTTATTTGCAGTCAAGTAAGGTAAATTAAAATGTTCAGTTCATGTTTGGGGTCACATTTGAGGTGAGCAGCAAAGGCGGGAGTAGAAAGATAGATATGCACAAAGATAATTGCATATTCAGTTCATGTTTCAGTTAGCATTAAATGTTGATAATTGCATATTCAGTTCATGTTTTAGGTCAGCATTAAACGGATGACAACATAATATGCACAGTGATACTTGCATATTGTAGAAAGACTGAACCAAAATGGCAGAGTAGAAAGATATATACATATAATGAAGGAACAGCTTAATTAGATATAGCAATGTACAGAAGGAACAATTTATACTTTAATGAGCAATGGTTGGGGCAAAGAGACAGAAATTTCATGTTCTTAGTATTTTTTCTCTCATTCAGTGAACATCAGCACTTGAGCAAAATTACAGGGGACTTAATGGTTCACATATCAACCTCCCAAATAACAGATTTCTATTTATTATTGATCTTCTCAACCACAAGAAATAAGAGAAGGCGTATAAATTTCACAAAGATCTATATAATTGAGAGAAAAGAATCCTCAATCAATCACAAATCATTTTAATGTATCCATGTCGACTTTCAGACAAAGCATAGCAAAAGTGTAGAACACATATGCCAAACAGATGCATTTTAATAATGGACATGCTATCCAATTAATGGACAAAATGGCGACCAAATAGATGTCGGGACTTACCAATGCTTCTCTTGCTGGTTCACTTAGACCATGTTTGGAGCTGGTATGGCATGTCTCGAAGGCCTCCACCACATCAAGTTCTTCATCTTGCACTGTGCTGGGCTCTGCATTGTTCCTCCCATGCTTCTGTTTCATAGAGATTCAATTACAACAAAGTTTTGTCAGTCTTATGATACAAAGTCAGTGCTATGTCGAGAATCAGTTACTTACATATGCATGCAAGTGTGCCACATAGTCATGAGAGCCGTAGAGTCTGATGATACTTGACTTTACCGCGATTAGTCTTGTTCTTTTCGCTTGTTTCCTAAAGGAGAATGACATGTGAGATGAGATCATAGGTTAAAATGATAAGATCCACTTTGAAACCCGATCGAGAAAGAATATACCCATACCATGTTCTTTGGATCGACCACTTTGCAACTAGTTCCTCCATTTGTTCATCACCATGCATTCAATCGGAGAAGTTGTCCTAATCTCATTTGCACTTACACCATTGAAGTATTTCTTCTTGAGCCGATAACGCCTTTGTCGCACCCTCAGAGCGCGCAAAGATATCGGTGCAAGCATCCTCTATTGGCTTGTCGTTAGTGTTAATGGCCAAGCGCCCCCTAGTCATTTGACAATTCCATATTTAGTTAGTCAATTCAGGTTAAGCAGATATACAAGTTTACCATAAAAACAGTAATGCACTTACAGAGAGCTTTCCCACAAAATTTTTGTAATGTTCATCGTCGTTCTTGTATAATTTCCAATGAGGTAGGACAGGAACCTTATCCCGAATGATGACACCAATTTCGAGATGCAAACTTGGCTGCTTGAACAGGTTCATGAGGCCTTCTTTTTCCTTGAAAGAACAGCTATGGGCATTCTCCTTCCCATAGCTTTTGTCATCCTGTCTAGCTGTGTTCCCTTGGTGGGTGGCCTGGGTCTCCTTAGGGCTCTCTGTGCAGGAGCTACAACATATAATTTGCATTTAA